GCCAGGCTGGTCTCGAACTCCTGACCTCAGGTGATCCACCCGCCTTGGCCTCCCAAAGTGCTGGGATTACAGGCGTGAGCCACTGTGCCGGGCCTTGAACTTCCTTCATTTTGAAGGCTGAATATTCCATTGTACCACATGTTGTTTATCCATTCATCCATCAATGAACACTTGGGTTGCCGCCACCTTTTAGCTATTGTGAATAACACTGTTCTGAACATGCACATTCAAGTCTCTGCTTTCAGTTCTTTTGGCTATATATGCATAAGTGAAATTGCTAGATCATATGGCAATTCTATGTTTAGTTTTTTGAGGAGCTGCCATATAGTTTCACACAATCTTTTAAAAATTATTTTATTGGTAGTATAATTCATTTGTCGCTATACCCTACTTTACTAAACATTCTGGAATGTTTGTTTCCTATGTTTTCTTTTTTCCCATTGAGTGGGCATTAGTTTTAATTTAGACAATGCTCCAGGCTTTTGCCCCATTTTAGAAGTAACTCATAAACATCTATTATTCTTTCTAATAGCTGTTAATTCACAAGTTTTTATTTATTTTGCTTAGTGCCACCTCACAATTGTCCCTTATCTAAAGAGTATCCTATCCACAGGAGTGAGTACCCTCTAGCTAGACCTATGTTTTCCAATATGGTAGCCACTAGCCACATACTTAAACATTAGTCAATTAAAGTAAAATAAAATTAGAAATTATCTTCCTCAGCTGCCCTAGCCATATTCCAAGTGCACAGCAGCCACACAGGGGTAGTGCTACTGAATTGGGCAGCACAGATTCAGAACATTTCCACTACCCCAGAAAGTTCTATGGTAACTACTGCTCTAGACTATTTTTGACTCTGACCTCTTGGCCATAGCTGAATTAGTTTCTGTAAGTTGCTCCTAGAAACTATTTAGTCCTTGGGGACAGTCTGATGATAACATTTACAGAACACTAGAAACTAGATTGAGTTTCACAATTTATAATGTGAAATATCTCTTCCAATGACTGGAGTACTCCTGACCATTATTTCATATCAGTCTTTTCAGGACCAAATTAATGGTCTTCAGTTTCTTGGTGATGGTCACCTAATCCAAGCTGGGTCAATGAAATTCCTTATTTCATCCCTTGGGAATTTGGAACTGGGAAGGGAGAGGTCTTCATTCAGGCCCTCTAGTCATTTGGAACTATAAAACCAAAAGTAATAGATAAAACTAGATAAAACAGAGAATTGGGTAAAGCAATAGAAAGAAAAATTAAGTAGATAAGCAGAGATTACATTGCCTCTTAGGTTTTCTATTTTGGTTCAAGCCCCTCCCTTGGGTCAGCTACATTTCCGACTTTTGGTTACAGGGGAAGGTTGTGTTTAGGTCAGGCACGGTGGCTCATACCTGTAATCGTAGCACTATGGGAGGCTGAGGTGGGTGAATCACCGGAGAGCAGGAGTTTGAGACCAGCCTGGCCAACATGGTGAAGCCCTGTCTCTACTAAAAATACAAAAATTAGCCAGGAGTGGTGGCACATGCCTGTAGTCCCAGCCACTTGGAGGCTGAGGCAGGGGAATCGCTTGAACCCCAGTGGTGGAAAAGTGAGCTGAGATTGTGCCACTGCACTCCAGCCTGGGTGACAAGAGCAAAACTCCATCTCAAAAAAAAAAAAAAAGTGTTTCGGCTGCTCTCTATCCTCCCAACCCCCAGCTTCCCCTGATTAAACTCTGCCCTCTGTTATCATTCTGAGTGTGGAAGCTTTATTAAATCAAATTGTGTAACATGTTAACTGATTTTATCCTTTAGTTTGTATTGGATTTTAAAATCTCAGGCCTAAGTAATTCCATCAACATTCATTTCATGTATGACAGAATAAATAATCCCTTACAAACCAAAGCAATGACCTTTTTTTTTGAGAAGGCGCTTCACTCTTGTTGCCCAGGCTGGAGTGCAGTGGAACAATCTCGGCTCACTGCAACCTTTGACTCCCAGGTTCAAGCAATTTTCCTGCCTCAGCCTCCAGACTAGCTGGACTACAGGCATGTGCCACCACACCTGGCTACTTTTTTTTTTTTTTTTTCGTATTTTTAGTAGAGATGGGCTTCACCATGTTGGCCAGACTGGTCTCGAACTCCTAACCTCAGGTGATCAACCTGCCTAGGCCTCCCACAGTGCTGGGATTACAGGTATGAGCCACCATGCCCGGCCTCAAAGCAGTGACTTTTGATGGTGAGAACCCGGCATGCACAGACTGAGTGCAGTAACTTTTGCAAGCCACAGCAAATTATACTTTAGATGCAGTGATTAGGAGACCTCTTGCAGGAAGACTGAAGGAAGGAGGAGGAAAGAACAGGAGCAACCGCCCCCTGCGGGAAGAGACACAACTACCCTACCTAGGAAAACGCTGCTTGTTGTCAAGCAAAGAAAGGACGCCAGTGTGGCAGGAGAGCCAGGGAGAAGGGAAGGTGGCGTGCTGCTGCAGGCTGGGCTGGACCTTCAGGCCATGGTGAGAGGTTATGATGTTATCTGATGGGCAATGGGAAAGTATTTAAGGGATTTAAGCAAGGGAGTGACCTGATCTGATTTGTCTAAGAAAAACATCCCTCAGCTACTGTCTGGAAATGAACTATAAGAAAACAAGCAAGGGACCAGTTAGGAGGCTACTGCAAGTGTTGGTAAGAGATCATCATGACTAGACCTGAAGATGGGAGGCGGTGGAGAAATTTGTGACAGCATTTGATATTCTGCAAGTAAAAATAAAAGCGCTTATTAATGGAGTTACCGCTGTTACCTTCTCAGTAGCCACCCCTATACTACAGCTGCCAAGGAAGTAGAGTGAAGGCTCTGACACCTCTCAAGAAGGGCCTTACTTTCCCAGCTTCACGGAGCTCTGGGCACAGCTCTTAGGAACTACCTTGATTCCAAAACTCTCCAAAAGGACGATTCTGCCCTCGTGTTCCTCTCTTCCTTTGAGGGAATTTGGGAGGAGTGATTGTTGAAAAATGACTTTCAGCAAGAGGACAGCAGTGTTCGGGGTCCCACAATACATCCCTACCTTTTAACTTCAATGAGTATTTTTAAATTGGTATCGTATTTTGCAATGCACGAGAGAGAAGGCTTTTTACTAGCAGCAATCTCCTAATCCATCTAAGTAATGCTGTATTTACCGTTACTCCAAGTATCCTAGGGCAAAATTCCTTTACAACAATTCATCTTCCGAAACAGACGGGTTCCCTGTTCACCTGTTCACGTGTTGTGCACTCTAGGGTCCTCTTCCCGCCTTGCAGACAAATGCACTCATTGTCTGTGCCACTCCAGTCTCTGGATCCAATGCAGCGGGCATTTCCTGCAAGGAGCTGCTGCATGCCTGCTTTTCCTGCCGCCTGCCCCAACCCGGATCCAAGGCTTTTGTTTCTAACGTTCCCCCCCAGTGCAGTTAAAACGCTTGAGTTCGCTGTTACTAAATAGACGGCCAGGAACTTTTCCTTGGCGGGGGGGAGCTGCGGATGTTTAGGGCACTGTCCAGTCAAGTTCTGAAAAGCAGCGAAGCCCAGCCGCTTGTGCAAAAGGACCGATCCACCGGGAAACAAGGGCAACGGGCACAATTCGTAAACTTGCCACTTCTATGGCACGTTTAGGCTCTTAGAGCCGCGCTTTGGCGCTGTCTCCTCCCGCTGTACATGTCGGCCTCGGCGTTCCCCAAGATGCCGCAGCGCTCGCTCCCGCGTCAACCGGGCGCGGGGAGGGGGCGAGGCGCTGGCGGCCCCGGGGCCCAAGCGAGCGCAGCGGAGTCGAGCGGGGCCTCCGGGCGGCGACGCTCTGGCCCTAGCCCGCTCGATGGTTTTCGCGCGGACGCCGGGGCCCGCACGGTCCAGTCGCCAGGGGGCGCGCTGACCAGCGCCGCGGATCTCCGAGCTGCGCGGCCCGACTCGGGTCGGCCATATTGGATGCCGCAGCCGCTGCTGCCAGCGCTTCCTCCTCTGTCTTCGCCGAGCGCTGCTGGTTCCTGCGGCCCGAGCGGTGGGGAGGTGAAAAAGGAGCCTGTCGGAGGCAGGGGAAGAAGCGGGTGGAGAGTGTAGGGTACTGGGCTAGAGGGTGAGGGACCGAGACGGAGCGGGGCGGAGAAGAGAAGGCGCCGCGGCCCAGCCCCTCCCCCGCCCGCCGCCGACCCGCCCCGGCAGCGCCTCTGTTCCCCAGAACGGCGCTCCGCCCGCACTAGCGGCCATGCCGGGGCCGCGCTGCCCCTGAGGGAGCCCTTCCCCTCCAGCGCGTGCCCTTCCACTCCGCCCCGAGGTCGCAGCGGCCCGCTCTCCCGCCGGCGCCCCCTCCTCGCGGCCACGCAGCCGCCCGCGTCTCGCTCTCCCCACCCAGCGCAGTGGCCGCCGCCTCTTCCGCCGCCGGGCTCGGGGGCCTCCGCAGCGACAACATGGAGGCCGTGAAGACCTTCAATAGCGAGGTTGGTATAGCAGCCCGGCCCCCCGCGCTCCTGTCCGCACTGCGCCCACCCCTGGCCGAGGTCGGGGCTAGGAGGGTGGGCGCAGACCTGCGGGCTTTTTAAGGGTGGGGTGAGCGGTGGACTGGCAGTGCCCGTGGGGGAGGGGTGTTTCTCCTCCGGGCGCCCCTCCCCCGGGTTCGGGAGGAGGGTTGGGGGAGGGCCGCCCTGGGCGGAGGGAGGTTCTGGCGTCTCCGGCGCCCTATGGAATGGCTGCGGGCTTGGAGGGAAAGGCCCGGTTGGGCCCTCCCCCGGAGACTCCCGACAGGTCCCTCGAGGTCAGTTCCGCCGAGACCTGGCCCGCCCATCTCCTTCCTGGGCCTTTGAGGATTTAGATGGACGCTGGACATCACTCTCCAGACCTCCTGGGTCCTTGCTGAGACTGACACCGATTGGGGGCGGTGGGGGAAATGAACCTGCGGGATGCTGATCTGTGGTCACGTTACACGTAGTGTTTATAATTGAGACATTGTTGACTGGGAACCTGCCAGCTAGGGATTTGAGCTAATTGGATGGTGGGTAGGCAGGCAAGGTTATTCTTTGATCAATCTTCTATTTTTACTCCTCATCCATCACGACATAAAGACAAGTGGTAGGGAGAGATCTGTACATCGAGAGAGGGAAAATTCTGGGGAAAACATGTCTTGCTGGCTCATTCAAATGAGATTTTAAAAAACACATAACGATTTTCACTGTGTAGATGAATGTGCTAGTCTGGAAGAAGACAGGTTTTGACAGATATGTTCAATTTCTTTTTCAACTCCTACTTAAATAGGCCTTAATGTAAACATCAAACATCGCAAATAAATAACTGCACAGTCAGCATTAGTATCCTTGTCTCTTCGCCTTACAAAGTGTAATTATGCTGGAAACTAAATTAGCATAAATTTTATGAACTCTTGTAAGTGCTAATACTTTATTCAATACTGTGATTGTTAAAAAGTATCTTTAATATTTACTTCTTAAAATACTAGGCTTTTTGCTGTGACGGTCCAAATAGGACAGTACTTTTAAATGCCGTTGCATAATTTTATCTTGTTTCAATTTATTTAAAAAGAATCAGTATTTGGGAATCTTAGCAAAGAGGCTAAACGGTAGATAATATTTGGGCTATGTTAGATACCAGTGATAAATAACTTTTTTTTGGAAAGCATTTTCTGTTTTTAAGACTACATTTTTTTTTTTTTAACAACTTGATAGAGCAATAGACTTGGGACCCAGGCTGGAGTACAGTGGCGCGATTTCGGTTCACTGCAGCCTCCGCCTCCTGGGCTCAAGTGATTCTCCTGCCTCAGCCTTCTGAGTAGCTGGGATTACAGGCGTGCACCACCACGCCCAGCTAATTTTTATGTTTTTAGTAGAGATGGTGTTTCACCATGTTGGCCAGGCTGGTCTGGAACGCCTGACCTCAAGTGATCTGCCCACCTCAGCCTCTCAAAGTGTTGGGTTTATAGGCATGAGCCACTGCTCCCAGCCTTTCATTTTTTTTTTTTTCTAGCTATCTTTTTATCTGTTTTTGAGAGGGAGTCTCATTCTGTCATCCAGGCTGGAGTGCAGTAGTTGTGATCTTGGGTCACTGCAACCTCTGCTTCCCTGGCACAAGAGAGGTCTTCCTCCTATCTCTGCCCCTCAAGTAGCTAAAATTACAGGCCAGAGCCACCACACCCACCTACTTTATTTTTTTGTAGAGGAGGTCTTGTTATGTTGCCCAGGCTGATCTTGAACTCTTGGGCTCAAGTGATCCTTTCTCGCCTTGGCTTCCCAAAGTGCTAGGATGACAGCTGTGAGCCACCACGCCTGGGGTGGGTTTTTTTTTTTTT